CCTAATTCATATGGAAAGGCAAAAGAACTAAAACAGCCAAAATAATTTTGAGAAAGAACAAAGCTGAAGAAGTCACACTACTGATTTTTAAATTACATGTTTTAATAAACATTGTAATTGAGACAGTGTATTATCAGAGAAGGGAAGCAACCATATTCAATGGAATAAATCAATTTTGGAAAAATATAGAAAAAATATTGTTTTCAACAAATGGTGGTTGAACACAATTCATATGCAGAAAATTAACCCCAGACTAAATCTTATACTTTATACAAAAATTAAAACAAAATGGATCATAGATTTAAATGTAAAACAGAAAACTATAAAACATTTAGAATAAAACCTAGGAGAAATCTTGGAGACCTCAGGTTAGGCAGAGTCTTAAAATATGACACTGAACACACAATTCATTTAAGACATTAAATAACTGAACTTATCATAAATTGAACCTCTATTCTGTATGCTTCCATTTATATGATATTGCGGAAAACTCAGAACTATAGGGACCGAGGGCCGATCACTGGTTGCTGGAGAGCAGGGATGGGAGGATATAACACAAAGATATCACAGGGAATATTGTGGCTGATGGAACTATTCTGTTTGCTGATTGTGATGGTATTGCACAAATTTACACGTGTTAAAACTAGAGCTGCACACTTCCCCCAAAAAAGCCAATTTCACTATATGTTAACTTAAAATTTAAATTAAAATATGGAGTCAGTTTCAGTTGGGAAGCTAAGTATCAGGAAAGCACATTTGTTTAAACCTAATTGTACTTCAGGTGAGGTCATTACTAGTTGTAAGTAGATCATAGCGGTGGTCTGTTTAAGGGAAAGGATATTAGGGGGAGAAGGTAATGGAATTACAGTGAACCTTACAAATGTCAGAGCAAAATATTAACACCAGCCTGCGAATCCAGCAGTGGGAAGAAGGCTCACTGGGAGGGAAGTACAGGGTGCTGCTCCAACACCAGCATCCAGACCAGACCAAGTGGGGTCTGAGCTTGACGAAGAGAAGATTAATCTAAGGACAGAAGAATACGAGCAATGGTAAGGCCTGAAGAAGGTGGAGGCAGTTCTTCAGTGTCTGCGTAGGAAGGGAGCATTTCAGAGGGCCAGTGACTGGGTGTCTGAGCCCATGAAAAGCTCCCGAAAAGCGTGGAGCTACCTAGAATAGGCCCCCAGAGGCTTTCCCTGGAGTGAGTGCTCCCTGGAAGGTGTTCTGCGGAAAGCTGCCCAAATAAATACTAAATCCCAAGTTAAACCTCCTCTGCATTAAGGTTAAAGGTGAGGAGGAAGCCTCCAGTGGAATCCTGCCCACAGATCATTAAAATGACAAAATTTAAATCTTCCAAGCGTGGGTCTCTTCTGTTAGCATTAAAATAGCAGCAGACAGAATAGTTTGCTTCTATCATCCGTGGATTGGGATGTGGCGGGGGGACCCAGTTTAGACTGTTTAGTTACAAGGAGCTATTAAATGTAGAGTTTCAAAGTAAGGGTAAAGTCTTTTAAATAAAACATATTATAGAGGTGAGTATGATGTTTAAGAATTTTAATTATTGCATATGAAATAGTAATGCATAGGGGTGGTATCTTAAAATACCTTTATTATGTATACTATATAATCTTGGTATATTTATTTCTGAAATCCATCCCTTAATTTGGCAGTTGTATGTGGATTACTACAATTGTCCACCAGAGGGAGACAAAAGACTGCATTTTCCCCTTGGGGCTCCTTCAGGTTTAATGAGCACTTTGAGCCAAAATCTCTATCACATGTTGTCGAGAGTGGGGCAATCTAAGACTGAGAAGAGCTTTGTGGTTCCAGAATGAGATAAAATGATAAACAGGAGTGGTTCTGGCCTTAAATGTCCTGCTTTTCCTCTGGGTCCTGGTGACTTTCTCCTCCTGATTCTCTGGGGTCTGCAAAGCAGAACTGTTTGTTTGCTAGGAAGCAAAGCCCTTTGGATTCCTGACCCTGTCCAAGCTGAACAAATGGCATGGGAACACTCCCACCTCACCTACCCACTGCCAAAGGAATGCATTGTTCAGCTCAAGGAGGCATTTATGAAATTTCATAAATTTCAAGTGGTCCCTCCAGGAATGATAAATGCCCTGAGGAGCTGAAGGCAATCCAGGGCCAACCACACTGTGGAATTAGGTAGTCTTACTCCTCTTTGGAAGATTCCCTTTGTTAATTCACTCAACAAAGAGGAAGAATTTACCGGGAGGCGAGTATTGTTTCAAGTTTGTAACGGGGTCTCTAATAATAAGAAAGCTCTACCAATGAAATGAACCCCCCATCACAAGCAGGCGAAAGCTGCTCTGAGCAGAATGTGTGGCTAGTGCAGTTTACGTTTGAGATTCTAGGAAACGTTTACATATCCCCTATCAAAGGGAGATTCAAAACTAGAAGACTTCTTGAAAAACATTAAGTAATGTACCAGTACAATAATAAAGTACTGCTGGAATTTTTCTCTTCATCATTCTCTTAAAATAAATCAGACATATGTGATTGCACAGTTACTTTCCATTCATGATCACTTAATTTCCCACATTAAGCCCCCAAACCAGATCTTGAAAATGAAAATAAAATGAAGACTTCAGCTTATCACCCACTAGAAACAAACAAACACTTCTGGATGGCTTGGCTGAAAACTTATTTTTTAAGTGACTTTAAATCCCACTTCATTTTATATCCAGGACTTTGGATTCATGGGGGATGAGACAAAAGCAGGGTCATAACAGAGGAGAGCTTTTCCCCTAATACTGGTTAAGCAACTGATATGGGGAAGCAGTGACTGGCATTAAGAGTACAAGCTCAGAGAACCAAGATGGCAACGTAGGCAAATACCTGTACTCGCTGCCTCCCGCAACCACATCAAAATTACAACTAAAATATAGAACAACCATCATTCAGAATCACTGGAAAGCTGACTGAATGGAAGTCCTACAACTAGAAAAGTAAAGAAGAAAGCACACTGAGACTAGAAAGAGGTGCAGAGGCACAGAACAGGCTGGTCAGGCACCCATGTGTGCCGCTTTTTTAATCGGGAGGGAGATCATCTCTGCAGAGGCCACCCTGAGGAGCAAGGGGTCCCAGCCCCACACCAGACCCCCAGCCCAGGGTCCCAGAGCTGGGAAAAGAAGTCCCTACAGGCAGTAGGAACTACAGACTGTAAAAACCAGTGGGGATTGGGGCTCAGTGACACAGAGGCTGCTGGAAACCCAGCTGCTCCTCTTAAAAGGCCGGCACCACAAACTGAACTTACAAGTTCCTGCTTCCTCTGAGCTCCAGCACCAGGGCGAGGCTCTGGGGAACCCAGACACACACGAAGAGAAACTGGACTGTCCGGCATCAGGGCAGGAACTCAGGGGAGGCTTTCTTCCAGATGGAGGTGCTTAGTGCTCGGTGCTCACAGCAGTCAGTGTTCCCATGCTGGGGCCTCCCTGGTTGCAGGGCTGAATGGCAACCATTTCTGTTTGCTCCATCCTGGTGATTCCCTGAGACCCTGCCCCACCCAATTTACAACACCACCCAAGCTGTGTACAGCAGCTTTTGCATATAAATGGCCTGTCCTTGCTCAGGTTAAAACCTGTCAAACAAGCTGCAGCTGGGTCAGGGAGCCCCAAATCTATCAATAAAAGATCCAATACCCTGCACCAGCACCAGCCTGCCTTGTTTCATAGCTTGGCCTTGTCTGGGCACTTCCAAATGCAATACAAAGAGGAGGAATCTGCAGATCTCTCTGTAGCTCCTGCTGGATGGCCCTAGGCAGTGGCTGACTTAGCACCTCCCTGGAGACCCAAGAACCAGTGTACCCAGTAGTCAGGGTGAGACCATACCAGATTACAACTCTACACATCCATAATCGACACATTCAAGAGGCAGACTCAGTGAGCACCAAAGCCCCACTGAAGCAGTCCTGCTCCATAAGGGTGTCTCCTGCACAACAGCTCTCCCCACTGTAGTCGCAGCTGGTCCTCACAGCCCATTGACCTGGAGGTCAATTCCTCCCAGTGGCACTAACAGCAATCAAAGCTCAACTACAATAAGACTGTGCACACAGCCTACAAAGTGGTGCACCTAGAGCAGTGGTTCTCAACCTTGGCTGCACATTAGAATCACCTGGGAATCTTTTTAAAATCCTGATTTCCAGGGCCTCATCCTCCAGAAATTCTTTCTTTGTTATGGGTTGGGGCCACAACATTAGTAACAAAGAAACAGAATTTCCAGAGGATGGGGCTTGGAAATCAGGATTTTAAAAAGATTCCCAGGTGATTCTAATGTGCAGCCAAGGTTGAGAACCACTGACCTAGAGTGTCCACCTCAGGTGACTGAGGAGGCTGAGCCACTGGGCCCTATAGGGCACCTACTACACAAGGCCACTCTATCAACTCAAGGAGACCTAGCAGCTCTACCCAATACATAGAGACAAACACAGGGAAGCAGCCAAAATGCAGAGACAAAGAAAATGTCACAAATGAAAGAAAGCAAACTACTGGATATAGCAGGGGTCCTCAAACTACGGCCCCCGGGCCACATGCAAATACAAATATTGTATTTGTTCCCATTTTGTTTTTTTACTTCAAAATAAGATATGTACAGTGTGCATAGGAATTTGTTCATAGTTTTTTTTTAAACTATAGTCTGGCCCTCCAACAGTCTGAGGGACAGTGAACTGGCCCCGTTTAAAAACCTTGAGGACCCCTGGGATATAGAGTTCAAAACCACAGAATCTTCTAGAATCCTCCAAGGGACTTAGTGAGACTTTCAGGGATCTTAATGAAAATGCCAAAAAAATGGAAAGGACCAATCAGAATTTAAGCATACAATGACTGAAATAAAGAATGCTATACAGGGATTCCACAGTAGACTAGAGGATCCCAAGAATCAAATCAAATCTCTCTCTCTTTTTTTTTTAATATATATTTTATTGATTTTTTTACAGAGAGGAAGGGAGAGGGATAGAGAGAAACATTGATCAGCTGCCTCCTGCACACCTCCTACTGGGGATGTGCCTGCAACTAAGGTTCATGTCCTTGACCGGAATCGAACCTGAGACCTTTCAGTCCGCAGGCCGACACTCTAGCCACTGAGCCAAACTGGTTAGGACAAATCAAATCTCTTGAAGCAGAGCTGACCTCTGACACGCTGGTAGCCAGTACACTGGTTACCCACAGAATTCCAAGGCCAAAGCCGAAAAGGCATGGGGCTGCAGCCCCTCCCACTCTGCCAGGGTTTCCAGCTCCTGCCCTGCCCATGCCACTCGAAGCTCTGTCCGGCACAGGGCCTTGCCTTCCTGGCTCGCTTCCACTCTGGTCGTGGCCCAGCGCCTCACTGCACACTATGACCCACCTGCTGGTGCTGCTGGGCCCAGCTGGCAAGGTAAAAACCCAGGTCAGGCCTCGCACTTCCTGGCTCCTGTGTGCTGCCGCCCTCTGAGCCCCACGGCCCCTATTCCTGCTGCTGCTCCAAACAGGGCCAGATGCCCGGGTGCTGTGCACGGCCTCTGGGGACTGCTGTGGCCAAGAGGAAAGCCTCCCCACCCCATCCCCAACTCTGGCACCCTGATCCCAGGTCCACTTCTGTCAAGGGAGAGCTTTGCCCGCACAGCTGCCAGAAACCGAGCACCTCCAAGGTCCCCAAACCCCAAATTTCTGCCAGCCAAGGTGGTTGGCCTGCTGGCCCCATCCTGATGGGGGTGTTGGGGGCAATCCAGCCCGGATCAGGCTGGTTGGCTTCCACAGTGCATGTCATAGCCACCGGTCAATCTGGTCGTCCTGGTCATCCTGGTGGTTCCGCTGTAATGGTCGTTGGGTTTTTATATAAATGGATGCTGAAGGGTATTCTTTAAGAAGAAAAAGATAAAGATAAAAAATATGAAGAACAAAATGGCAACAAATACATACCTATCAACAATTAAATCTAAAAAATCTGATGAACAGAATAAACTGGTGAATGGAATAGAATCAGGGGCATGGAAATGGAACAGTGACAATTCTCAGCAAGACGGGGGTGTGGGAGGAGATGAGACAAAAATCTTATATGCATGTATGCAGTACCTATGGGCACAGACAATAGGGTGGCGAGGGCCTGGGGCAAGGCAGGAACCGGGTGGAAGGGAGCTATGGGAAGGGAAAAGAGGGACATCTGTAATAATCTCAACAATAAAGATTTTAAAAATAATAATCCTATCTAATAAAAGGATAATATGCAAATTGACCCTAACAGTGGAACAACGGGTCGCTATGATGCGCACTGACCACCAGGGGGCAGACGCTCAATGCAGGAGCTGCCCCCTGGTGGTCAGTGTGCTCCCACAGGGGAAGTTCTGCTCAGCCACAAGCCAGGCTGACGGCTGCAAGAGCAGAGGCGGTGAGTGGGAGCCTCTCCCACCTCCTTAGGCCCGATCCCCTGGAGAACGGGCCTAAGCCAGCAGGTGGACATCCCCCAAGGGGTCCCAGACTGTGAGAGTGTGCAAGCCTGGCTGAGGGACCCCCTCCCCCTGCCCCCAAGTGCACAAATTTTTGTGCACCGGGCCTATAGTAAATAAATAAATAAAATAAAGTTCAGAATAAAATATGGCAACAACAAAAAAAAAGAGTACAATGCACAGGTTTATGGTGGGAAAGAACCCAGGACCTTAGTATTCTTTTCCTTGTGCACTAACTGAAGGAACCAGTGAAAGATGACAACATATAGGATGAGATTTTTCTAATGAGATCCTCTCTAGCCACAAAATCTGAGGCACAATGCTCTTCCCAGCTTAGAGGATTATGAGTGTTGCCACTGCTGACGCTGGACAAGCTGGGGCGGCCATGGCCTTGCCATACATGTTAGCGCTGGGTACCCATGAGTTCCCTGGACAGGGCCCCACCATGTCTGTTAGCAGTCATGCAAACAAATGGGAATTCATCTTTGGTTCCAGAGGACATAAAATGACCTGTTTCAGTAAAACAGAAACTTAAGAAGGAAAAGTGAACTGGCATAAAATGTGAATCTAGCTACATCTGCTTTGGAGGAGTGGAGGTGGGTGGAATGACTGCAGAGACTCTAACCCTCACCCTTTCTGTGAATCCATGAACAGACACAGAACTGCAAGGACTTCTAGAGCCAAAGGTTACTCATTGAAAGGGATTGGTTTCCATCTCCCAGGAAAAAAATCTGTGTAAGAAACCTGATGACATGTTCCTGGATTGACTGTAAAACTGTTTTCCCAAATAGCACCAGCCAATTCTGGATTCTCTTTGGGACTATCCTCTAATTCACTGGGGAAATCGTTGTATTAAGTCAGTTCAGTTTTACCAAGTTATGATACAATTTGCAAAGCTATATCATGCAACCACATAGTTAGTGTGGATGGAAATACTCTTAATTAAAGATAAGCACTTGTCCAAGAGCTTGCTGTAATCAGACCTTGTGGGGATTTAGCTCAGTGCTTTGCCAATCAAAAATACAAAATAGATTTAGATGTGAAATGTAGTCTTATATCTCACAGGAATAAGTTCTTGTGACTTTTTCTTTCTAAGATAAAATTTGCTCATTTCATTACACTCACCGTCCTTTCTTTATTAAGAAATCCAATCTTGTAATGAGCCTTAGTTTTTGGTATTATCTCTAAAAAAGACTTTCTAAAAATTGCCTTTTAAAAGTAGTTTAGCCCAGCCGGTGTGGCTCAGTGGTTGAGTGTAAACCTATGAAACCAGGAAGTCTCAGTTCGATTCTCAGACAGGGCACATGCCCAGGTTGTGGGTTTGATCCCCAGTGTGGGGCATGCAGGAGGCAGCCAATCAATGATTCTCTCTCATCAATGATGTTTCTATCTCTCTCTCTCTCCCTCTCCCTTTTGGGCTGAGCCTCTGGACCACCCTGGCCTAGCTCCCTGATGCCACTCACATCCCCCTGGCCTCCCTTAGCTCATCCTTCTCTGATCATCCTTCCCTGCCCTCTGCTAATAAGGTCATGTTAACATATGTCTGACCTTTTTTCTCCATCAAAAATACACATCCCCTGCCCTGAATCCCACAGCTAGACACTCAGTCTACCAAGGTAACAGCTCACTTTCCTAATAAGATTAATGTAACAATAGGGTTGACAGTTTACAGACAGTTTATAGACAAAATGAAAAATAATAGTAACTTCTATTTGGTGAGCACCCACCATGAACCAGACACTACTACTGATTAATTAGTGAGTTAATTAATAATTCAACATATATTAAGAGTAACCAACTACCTGCTAGGCACACTTTAAGATCTGGAGATAAGAGAGAGCATGCTGTTTTCAAGAGAGTTCCATAAGATCATCGTATTGAGTCCCAGAAGGGAGTGGAAAGAGAGAAGGCTCGAGAGGCAAGCCGGAGGACAAATAAAGGAGTCTTGGTGCCACTGAAATTTTTTTGACATTGTCTTTTAGAAAGAAAGAAAAATAACTTTAGTAAGGTATCAGGACTGACGGTGTAGATTTGGTAGTTTTCGGTGCATCAATAATCCTTTCCAAAGAATCTAGACAAGTCAGTATCATTATTCCTACTTCACAGATTAAAAGCCCATAGTGCACATCTATTGATTTGTATCTGCCAGAACCCTTTCCCCCTTTATCTAATAGCAGCCTCCCCCTTTTTAGGAAACTCCTCCTCCCTCACCCCAGGCATGTAGTTCAGTTGGAGCCAATGTGGTGCCCTGTGCCTCCTGGCCAGCAGCCCAAGCTGAGCCATCACAAGAGCTTACACTGCTGGTCACCATCTTAGAGTGACATGACCAGAGGGAAGAAGCTCTGACCTAGGTTTTTCTGAGTGGTAACTGGGGTGATGGGCCCCTACCTCTCATAGCAAAGCTGTACACATGTCAGCACCTGACTACTCAAATAAAGCACATAGAGGCAGACTGCTGTGGGAGGGCTCGAACTGGGGCCCCTGAGAAGCAGAGAGGAGCCCCAACCACAGCAAGACCTTGGTTCCCATTAGCTATGTTACAACCCTGCCTTTCCAGTTATATCAACAGTAAATCCCTTTCAGATTGAGTTTCTGTCACAAATAACTAGAAGTCCTGGCTATACAGTAATTGAGACTTGAGAGGCTAAATAACTTGACTGAGGCAGGTGGTAAGCAGAGCTTGGAATCAGACTCCTGGCGTTCTGACCACTGCACCACCCTGCAAAGCACGGGCTTCTAGGATAAAGTCTGCTTTCTGCTAGAGCAGAGTCTCAGACTAGGTGGTTAAGGGAATAAAAAATTAAAAATGAGTCAAGAGCCTGCATCAAATTCGGACACGTTCAATTACTGCAAGAGTAGGCAAATCAATTAATCCCGTTGAGCTCCATTTGTAGAATGAAATAAATATGTCCTACTCACTTTATGGGTGTTTGGTTAATTAAGGGGCTAATACATGTGAGAGCATTTTGAAAACAATAAAGAACCTATCAAAGATACGTGTTGCCAATCTTGATCAGCAATAGAAGTGTGTATGAAATCCACTCTCCCTCTTGGTGCTTGAACCTATACTCTTAGGGGTGGGAAACAGAAATCCAGAATGTTATCTCATCCCTGTTAATTTCCATCTGAATAAACAGTCACTTCTGTGTTATTGTTGCTACCGAACATTTATTGAAAGCCAGACAGGGTCTTGGTGCCCTGGAAAATACAGAATCTAGAGAAGTCTCTGGGAAAGGCAGGAAACCCAGAGCAATGGTTGGCATGGTACTTGGGAACAAGAAACCAAAGGTGTGGCTCCCAAGTCCCCTTCAGAATTAACATGGCAATGTGTCCACATTCCTGAGCCTATTCTGCACTGCCTTTTCCACCCGCCACCCTCCCCTCACCCGTTCATGGGCATTTTGAAGGATAATTCAATGTGCAAGTCTTGGGGAACAGAGCATTATGTTCTGTAATTAGGCTTCGTTCTGTTTATTGCAGACACCACTTCATTTTGAAAACAGAACCCTGCCTTTTCCTTTCGGGTATTTTTTAATGACAGCATAAGAATGCCCATGTTTTCCTTTGCTGTTCAGGTATAGCATACGTACACAATAGGAGAGTCTGTGTCCTGAAAATGTACATGTTAATCACGTTTTATCAAAATCAAATTATTTCCAAAATGTAATAGGATCCCAGTAGGAGCCGGTGGTGTGTGTGGGAAAAAGTGGAGGCTGGGAGTCAGAAAAATCAAGATTCAAGCATTAGTTCAACCATTCCCTACTTGTGTGACCCTTGGCAAGTTATTTAACCTCTCTGTTCATTTTACATGTTTTCACATGTGTAAAATGAGGATAATTTGAGTTTGAGGCCTACCTTAGGGATTTTTGTGAGCACCCAATGAAATGTTTTCGAGTTGGATAAAGAAAGACTAGCTCCATGTCCTTTGGAATTTCAGACCCAATCACCAGAATTGGAAACAATGAGGAAAGGAAGGCAATGGGTGTGAAGATAAAACCATCTCAAGAAATGGGCATATCGCTGCGCACAGCCAACACTCAATCAGTGTTTACTGAGTGAATATAAAAATGTATAACTGCTTCAGCCACCGTTTACTAGCCTATGCACTGGGTGATCACAAGTTGCCCGATTCCCGGATGGGACTCACTTATCTGACAACAAAGGCTACCAGTCTTTGGTGAGAGAAAACCCCAACTCCACTCCCTCCTTCAAGAAAACATAACCAGAGCACCTGTCCTGGTACACAGTCGGTATTCAGTAACAGTATGCAGTAGCTATGCCACAAATGCTAATTCCCTTCTCCCATCTCCCTACCCATAGCCTTCCGCCTAATCTAGGTGCTGGTTCACTCTTTTCTTTGACATATTGTCTGATGTTCCCTGTTTTCAACTTCATAAAAAATACTGAAGCTGAAA